AACAATCACAGTTATAGATTTCAAAGTTTGTAGCACACCGACTATAGCAAACTAATAATATATACTCTATTTTTTGGCGTGTCGCGTTGGTTATATTTATAGCCGTGTGGAGGCGTTCTAGAAATTTCAGTTTTAAGTAACAACACTGAGCTACATTTAAGCGTTTACGTACATACATATATTGTTGATTCTTACTCTCGAGAATCTTCTACAATTTTGGAGAATAGGGGGGGAGAGTTTTGTAATACATATCTAACAGCATAAGCCATGTATTTTTCTAAATATAAATTTAATCCAAACAAACGTTGATATTAAAACAAAAATATAATAATAAATTCGTTACATATGTTATATCCTTCTAGAATGCAGTCACACTAATTTTGAAGTGGTGATGCAAATAGTTGTATGGAGGCCTTATACTGACGTCTAAAAGGCATGAGGGATATATTTTGCTCCACCATTTTGGACCTCAAGTGCTTAAATTGATCTTAGGCGAAAAATGGCAAACCTGTCTTCTAATATCGTTTTATCTCAACCGGTAAATCATCTGAACGAGGCACATAAAGAAAGATATATTGAGAAACTGAACGGCCGTGTAGTTCAGTTTGTTTGTTTGTTGAATTTCACGCTAAGCTAAGGTTATCAATTCAAAGTTAAGAAATGCTAACTCAGATATTTCATGCGTAGTTTTGCGAGAATATCAGAGACAAATCACACCTTTATGTATTATGGGAATGAACACTGGTGTCGGTAACCTAGGGTTGTGAGAAACAACAGTGTCACTTTGGTCTGACGTAACAATATGGTATATCAATGGTATCATCATTACTCTGTTTCCTGTCTCCATCTCGTGCAAAATATTGCTTTCAGTCTACTATGCAGTCATTAACTAACATTAAAGTCAGCCAGTTAAGTAAAGCCTCACACTATTAATGAACAAAGATTTGTTACATTTGTTAACATGTTTTATTTTGTTGTTTTTTCAATTAACTGCTGTTCTTTTTCGAAGTCCCCAGTAGCTTAGTGGTAAGTCTGTACGTTTAAGAAGCTAAAATCAGGTTTCGATATTCGTGGTGGGCAGAGTACAAATATCCCATTGAGTAGCTTTGTGCTTAATGACAATTTACCAACAAACCAACTATTATCGAAATTATTCTCTGCACAATATTTCTGGAACATACTATTTTGAATAATTGATTTTTTTTGTTGGCCATCAACTATGCAGAAATCATCCTATGCTATTTTATTGAGATTTTCGAGACAGATTTCAAACACATAAGCGAAATGGAATGAATTACGCAGAATAAACCTGTATATTTCTTTTGCATATTTATACAACATGTAGATATTATCAAGAGCGTAAATAACATAAGATTCAAGACCACTTGAAACCATAATTAAAGCAATAAATCAAATTAATAAGATGCTTTTATTAATGGAGTTTTAATTCATAATAGCAGTGATGTCACTATACACATGAATTCACAACGGACTTTCGGCGTATTTCATATTTATACGTATATATAATTTAAGGACAACATGGGAATCTGTTAGTCCATCTAGGCCATCCCATCCACAATACTACACTCTAAAATATAGAAAAAATACACAAATTCAACCCATGTCATTAAAATATTTATCAAGCCTTCGCTTAAGGTCCGTTAATTAACTGCATCTACCACATCTGAATGAAAGGCTAACCACCCTTTTATAAAAATAAAGCTGTCTTAGCTGAAGATGACTCCTACCATGTCAAAATTTATACTTGTGTTCTCTAGTTTTATCTTTCTCACCATTAAGTACGAACTAAAATGATGCATCTTTAATATCAATTTCCTTGACAATCCTAAACACCTCAATCAGATCCCCTCTAACTCTTCTTTTTTCAAGAGAAAACAATTTCAGAAATCATAACAATCTTTTGTCCCAGGTACTATCCTAGTAGCCCTCCTTTTCACCCTTTCCAACAATTCAATGTCATTTCTAAGGTAAAAAGTCTAAGACTCAACGGAATATTTCAAATTGGGTCTAACCAATGTCCTATACAATGACATTATTACCTTTTTAAAATACAACCTAAGCTACTATTTGTCCTGCCATTAACAACAACGTATTGCTTGGATGGCTTAAGAATAATCAACCAGAACACCAATATCCTTTTCTGTTAAAGTTATCCCTATCAGAATCATTCTCATAATTCAAATTGTGATGTCCCGCATACATTTTCTTGCATTTATTATAATTAAAAGCCATCCACCATATATTCGTCCAACTCGCCAAATAATGCAAATCCTTTTGTAAAGCAGCAGCAACATCCTCACAGACAACAACACCAAAACGCTAATATCATCAGCAAATAAAAAATTACCATTTCTTTATTTATCTCCTTGATGGAAAAAAAAATATCAGAGGTACTAACACTGAGCCCTGAGGTACTCCACTTGTGACATTAATCTAGTTTTACTGAAATCCATTTATAACAACCCTCCGCTTTCTTCCATGCAGACAGTTTTCTAGTCAATGAGCCAACCTCTCGCTCCAAACCTTCGGAGACAACTTTTTAGCAAGCCTTTTATGTGAAAATTTGTCAAATACTTTCTAAAAACCCAGATACACCAAATACATACCCGTACAGTCATCTAAGAAAGCAGTAATATTGTCAGAGACAATCAAAAATATTAGTAAGGCAAGACTTCCCCTAGTGAAATTACATTGATTGCCCAATAACTTTTTAAACTTTGTTAAATGGTTATGCAAAGCATCCTTTATCCTTCTCACCGCTGGTGCCAGTTTCTAATCTCCTGGCAGCTCCCCACTATTCAAGGATTTTCAAAAAAAATTGTAGCAAGTAATTCATATCTCCAAGGAAAAAACATAATTTGATAACTCAACCATCCCTTCCTATATCATCCCTCAAAGGCCCTACTCCCATCCTAACATTTTGCTTACTCTTAATATATTTAAAGTCCATTCTAATAATATTCAAAATTTCAGCCTACCTTGTTTCGTATAGTTTTTTATTTGTTAATTTCCCGTTTAACTAAATGTATTGAGCAATTATAATCTTCGAAATCCCCCACCTTTGCAGTCATTTAAATTGCTTAAAATATTAATAGTGAAAAGTAATCGATACAGTGAGCTTAAAAACGAATTTCATCGACAATTTTCATTATTTTTAATAATAATATTGTCATATAATACTTGATTCATGGTGTATAGAGTATAAATTGACGTCACAAGGGCTCCAACTTCCGGCTACTACTACTACTGAGTACTAGTACTTGGGTTTATTTTTCGTTTTTAACAAAGCTACATATTTATTTTTTGAACTAAATTAACATTACAGGAGTGAATTTGAATGATATAAGTAAGTTTAGTTAACATGTAAGCTTATTTACTTTGATGATAAGTTAGCATTACCCGTTGGTAATATTAAACTAAAACTTATGTTTAAATGTTTTACAGGAAGTAACCTTGCAACTTTAAGTTTAAAGTTACATATCTAGTTGTACTTTGGCTACGCCTACTGTGGTTGTTTTATGCTCGGTAGGCTACAATTTAGTGCAAATACAATTTACAAAGTACGAGTATATTGTGTAGATCTGCCTAATACTGCAAGCATAGAAGATTAGAAACAATGGCAGATAAATGCACAATCAACTTAAGATAAACGGAACTAAAACTGAGTGAAACTAAAAGATGTTCTAGCAGTATTAGGCTTAATAATATCAAACTATAGCATTAATAACTAGTTATATATAAATTAATTCAGAATTTAACTTATTTAAGTTATTGCTACTTTATAACTTATAACTATAAGTTATATAAGCAATTTACAGTTACAAATTAGTAAGTGTTACTGGTACTACTATTACTAATGTTAGTAACATTAATGATATAACTTTAATAGTGAGAATATAGATTTTTTTACCATTACTGAGTATTCATTTTTCATCTGTAAAATTAAAAGTAAGAACTTAAAGAAGTTGAAATTCTCCATTTGACAAAGTATACTGATATTATTCAAGAATGTGTGGTAATTGATATGCTCTCCTATTAAAACTATGTATCTTAACTGTTATAAAAACATAAATGACACATTTGATTGAAGAATGTTTATTTTAATTTCTATTGCCATACTTAGAATTGAGATATTGGTTGAAAAATACTATATTTTGACTCCTTCAATTCACAGTAATACAGCAAATTTTCACAGTTTTCAAAATATTATTATAATTTATAATAAATCTGTTTAGTTTGCATTGTGTAAGAACATGTACTACTTCAGCACAAAGCAATGATAACATTTTGAAATAGTAAATTTCAAATGATTTTTTTAGACCATACAGTACTAACAAATTTGTAATCATGATGTGTTAAACAACAAGTTCTTGAAGAAGAGGTTGCAGAAAGTATGTGAAAAGTAATTTCTTATTTTAAAATGTCTCAAGCTTAATACATGAGTATTCAAACTGATGAGCTCTTTATGCTATGAACTGAGAGAATGATGAGTGGATGTGAGAATCATTATCAAGATATTGAATAGACCTGTATTAAAAAGTAAGTGTTGGAAACTAACTTGCAATGTTTATACTTGATAACTTCTTAGTATTAACTGATATTGTACATAGTCATCACATTTGGTATAAGCTTTTGCATTTTTCTAAAGTGCCATACATACAGCTACTCCAGTTTAAAACATAGAATTTTAAACTATATTTCTGTCAGTTTGTATTCTGAGCTTGTTAAGAAAAATTGGGAAGCTTAGAAAATGATAAGGCTCCTGGGCCAGATAATATTTCCCCAAGGATTTTGAAGGAGGTTAAGGATTGGATATGTGAGCCACTTGCTACTATTTTTTGCAAGTTCTTGGCAGGTGCCAAAGAATTGGAAGTTAGCTAATGTCACACCACTTTTCAAGGGAGGTAATAAAAAGTGTCCCAGTATTATAGGCCTATTAGTCTTACATCAGTTGTGGGAAACGTTTTGGAAAGTGTGATGAAAGATGCTTTGCAAAGTCATTTAACAAAGTTCAGAATTTTATTGGATAGTCAACATGTCTTGCCTTACAAATCTTTTGACATTCTTTGGAAAAGTTACAGCTTATGTAGATGAGGGTACGGGTGTAGATTTGGTGTATTTGGATTTTCAGAAAGCCTTTGACAAGGTGTAACATAAAAGGCTTGTAAAAATGATCTCTATAGGTGTGGGGATAAATTAGATAATTAGTTAAGAGAGTGGCTGGATGGCAAAAAGCGGAGGGTTTTTATAAATTGAGTTCAGTCAGTCTGTATTAATGTCACAAGTGGGGTACCTCAGGGCTCAGTCGTAGGACCTTTGCTCTTTTTGGTTTACATCAATGACATAAATGAAGGAATGGTCAATAAATTACTTAAATTTGGTAATGATATTAAGGTCTTGGATGATGCTAGCTATGAAAAGGATGCTGCTGATTTACAAAAGGATTTATATCATTTAGTGAGTTGAATGAATAGTGGCAGATGGATTTTAATTATAATAAATTCAAGATAATGCATGTGGGTTATCATGATTTGAATTATAAGTATAATTTGGATGAGAATTATCTTAACAGTGTCATAAAAGAAAAGGATCTTAGTGCAATTGTTGATCAGTTTCTTGAGCCATCCAAGCAGTGTGCTGTTGCTAGTGGTAGGGCAAATAGGATTTTTGGTTGTATCTACAGAAATATTGAATACAAGTCTAAAAAGGTTATAATTTCATTGTATAGGTCACTGGTTAAGCCAAATTTGGAGTATTATCTTCATTCTTGGGCTCTTTACCTTAGGAAGGACATTGAATTGCTGGAAACTGTTTTCTCTTGAAAAATGAAGAGTTAGAGGGGATCTGATTAAGGTGTTTAAGATTGTAAAGGGAATTAATAGTGTTGATGCATTATCTTTTTTCATACTTAATTGGGTTAATAGTAGGACCAGGGGACAAAAATATACATTTTGGCAAGGTAGGAGTCATCTTCAGCTAAGACGGTTTTATTTTTCTAACAGGGTGGTTGGCCTCAGGAATGGGTTGACTTTGGATGTTTTGGAGTTTAAGAGAAAGCCTAATAACTACATGAATGATAAGGGCTGGCTTTAAGTTTTTTTTGTTTTTGTTTAAATTTATAATAATTTAGATGATGGGACAGTTGAGATAGACCAACATGTCCCTTGTTGTCCCTAAACATTGTTATTTTATGTTACAGGCACACATGACACTATAAGTAGGGTCATTGTGAATGTTACTGTTGTCTTTGTATCCACATATTTCTTTGATCCTAGTGGGGGAAGAGATACAGTTACTCTTTTTTCTTCTTCTTTACCATAAGTAACTAATCAGTACACATTTATTATGTTTACTGTTTATTTAGAAACATAGAAAATAATTTCAGAAAAGCCTTCTGGAACAGTTTTAAACTGTGCATTAACCAAACGTTTTTTAATATTGAAAGTATCAACAAGAGTTTTGATATTAAATAGTTTCAGATCCACTGTTTAAAATTCAGGCACTGGCTCGTATCATAACGTGTACATATGCTTTCTTTCTTAACTGGCACATAGCTGGTATTAGTGTAAGTTAGAAAAGTTTCAAGCATACATTATAGTGCAGTATTTACTCAACTTTTGTATAGTGAAAGATAAGCCCCATGAATTCCCCTTGTTTTTAAAGGTAACTGAAATTATCCAACTGTCTTAATGTGTTAAACTTAAAGAACAATATGTATATCATTATGAGCTTTAAAAAATATTTTTGGTGCATTTAATTTTAAAATAAAACCATTCTAAATTCATACACTTGCTGAAGATTATAAATATAATTGCAGTAATTTTTATGGTAAATATTTGTAAACTTTTGGATCTTGGCACATTAGATCTTATATAGGAAGGTAAATATATGGTCATTCCTTTAATCTGTACTAATCAAAAGTAGTGTTTGTGAAAATGGTGTAGAATATCTTGCCAGGATGTTATCAGATGATTAACATATGATGTTTTTGGATGAATCAATTTCTGTGCAAATATTAGATAGGTCAGCTTAATAATGGCAGGGTTGAACAGGAAGTTTCTGGATTACCTAAGTTTTAAGCTTTCATAATGAAGTAGAAAGGGTGGATACATTTTATAAAAAAAATACACAATCTTTATTCACAGACAAAAATAAAAAATAAGGTTCACACTCACATTGACACTTCACATAATTTCTCCTACTAACTTAAGATACAGCTTCCCTTTTCTTGGAAGAAACTATACTAAAACATAAACCAGGTAGAACTGAGAGAAAGCTTATATGATTTCTCTTGGTCATTATCTTATAGTATTTATGTACAGACCAAAGAACATTACAGTTACCAACTCTTTCAATACATAAGAACTACATCCCCTCATGCGGTGGAAGTAATATCTGCTACAGAGAACTAGACACACACAGACAATCAGAACAAGGCAATCTCAATAGTTTTCATGACTAATATGCAGGTATGTGATATGTTTTCTACCTGCTTTTAGTAACATAGGAATTAAAAAAATATTTTTGTTTAGTTAGTTCCTATGCAGTTTTGGTTTAAGAATGTGTGTATATACATATGTTTATTTTATGCCAGGATTTAAGCACGTCAGGATTATGGACTGTTAATGTATAACAGCTACAGTGAGGTTTCTTTAAGATTACAATTCACTGCAAGTAATTATAGTTAAGACAGAATTTTTTTTTAACAAATAGGTATCTTTGGTATGCCTATATTCAATGTTTTTTCTGTCCAATTAATATAGAAATATTCAAACATTTGTTTATTCTAGGTATATGCAGTTTTCACATGGCATGTAGTCAAGAAAATATTAACTTGATTTTATTCTAGCTAACATTGTTCTTTCTCATTCTATTGGAGATACCATCTGGACTACCTATGAATCAATAGCTGTAATGCTATGCTGCACGTTGTGCAATAGTGTAGACAACAATGGCTTTCAATTGTAGGTCAGATGGTATCTACAGATTACAGCCTTCCATTTGTTTCAATGAGAACGATCAGTTACATAAGTAATGCTAGTTGCTCTGGATTAGTCTGAGATTCCTGGTTCAACTAAGTAGCTTGAGATTTAGACAGTGTGGAACATTATCTTGAGTGAATAAGTAAACTTGGAAATAAGTCTTGAGTGAGTAAAGCCAGCCTGATCAATTCGCAAATCAATTAAGGGTGATTGCCCATCATCCAGTGCAAGTACATACATTGTGTTTGTGGAATTAATAAATATTGTTTTCATTGTGCATCACACTTTGTGTCCAGTCCATTTTATTTCACAGTACAGACTCAATTACTTTTAGCACAACCCAGTATTACTTCACAATTTACCTTGTCAAGCTTTCTATTGTGTAACAGACCTACCAAATTTACTCATCTGGGAAAGTTTATTAGAAAATGCCACACCTTCATTCTCCATACAAATATCTAAAAATGGATTTATCACTAAGTAATCTGTTAATTTTTTTTTCCAGTTTGGCTTAGTTTAGATATAGAAATTGTATGGCTTATTTTACTTACTTGGCTTACTGAATTATCCATTTATGTTTTTGAATGTGATATTGAATAATTTTGTCTTTGACGAGTTTTTCAAGAATGTTTTACAAAATGGGTGTTGAATAATGAAATTTTCTTCAGTTTATAATTGTTCTAGTAGCATTTCAAAGTTAGAAACATTGTGCTGGGTGAGTGTCAAGGTGTCAAGAACTGTATGATATTTAATTAAGTATGTATTCCCCAAAAGTTGGAGTTTTGATTATAAGCATTTATTTGCATATTTGAACTTGCGTATGATTGTAAGCAGATATACATATTCTTCCAATTACTTGTGTATAAGTTAATGGAATAATTTTGATATTTTGAAACTTTGGAAATAATTTTGGGTTATAAAAGAGTACAGCACTGGTGCAAGGGTAATTGGTGCCCTAGGCAAACTGTCCACCTGGCACTCTTGCCAATTCCTCATACCCAACCACTTCCAATATAAAGGAATAATATCTGGAACGAAGGCCTACTTGTACTGATTTATTTTACACCTAACATAAATGAAATGATAGTAAACGATACAAACTTTATTTTATTAAATGTTCCACGCCTTTCATTAACCCTATAACATAAATTACACTGCATAAAGTCTAATATAATTTATGATATAAGACATGCCAATAATAGTAAATCCTCATAAAGAAGTATGCTGAAAATAACTTAATGTTTTTGACACTTAGCGGAGTACTCCTGGCCTAGCAGGCTGCATAATATTCAATCTACAATACAGTTAAAACTGCATTATTGATTGTTAATATTGTATTTTATAGTTTACTCGTTTTTTTTTGCACCCCCCTCCCCAAGAAAAATAATAAATAAATAAAAATTTGCCACCCTAGATGAATGCCAAGTTTTCTTAATGATTGTGCTAGCCCTGAGAGAGGAGAAAAAGGGTAAAAATTAGGAAGGATAAAGAAGAAAGAAAATGCCTATGAAAGGGTAAATAAAATAGGAAAAAAAGAAACTGTATATTAACTATTAGATTTTGTCATTGAAGTTGAGTCTCTATGGCAGTGTTGTGAAGACACTGAAAAATTTGGGAAGAATTGTATGAGCCTTGATTAGAGTACAGAAAAAAAAATTGTTATTATAATCTTTACCTGTGTGTGTGTAAAAAAGTGACACTGTATAATTTTTCTCTCTTTTTTTTCAAATATAGGTTGTTGGAAGATACATACCAATTTCTGTGATTTTAAACTGCTCACTACTTCCAAGAATAGATCATCATGTCTGCATTAAACAATGATTCTGCTGGATACAGTGAACTAAACCAGTATCAGATGAAAGCAAATCAGGTTACTGATGAGGTCAGTTATCAATGAGTGAAGTGTCTTTTAGTACATTTTAACAATTAGTTGATGTAACTGAACTAAAACCAGTATCAGATGAAAGCAAATCAGGTTACTGATGAGGTCAGTTATCAATGAGTGAAGTGTCTTTTAGTACAATTTAACGATTAGTTGATGTAACTGAACTAAAAAAAGCTAACATATTCATATTATAGACTTGAATTCATCAGTTGGATCAACCAATTGGTTAGCTTATCTTGATGACTGTGAGTTTTGTGTATAGCCACCTCTAAGTCGTATTAATGTAAAAAGGTATATAATTTTATTTGAAATCAAAATACATGCTTTGGTTAATTAACAGAATGACAATTGAATTTAGTATTCAGTTCTACTATATAAAGCTGGACAATTAACTGATATAATTGAGTACACATCTGTCTTGATACAACATGATCACCAGAACACAGTATTTAAGATCATAGTAAAAACAATGTCATATTAAAGATGATTTGACCATAAAAATTACCCCACTCTCCTGTTTTGCATGCTTATGCAAGGTTCATCGCATAATTCAAGTATTTGTGTGGTATATGTCTAGTCTACTTTTTAAATGATGACTGATTTTTATTTGTATGTTAAATTATTATAACCTAATTGAATTAATTTTAATTTATGCTGTTAAACCAATAATTTAAAGATATTTATTAGTTATACATTTGAATTTAGATCTCTGTTATGTGATAATTACACGAAATTAATATATTGTGAGAATTGCTTTTCTACTTTTTAAATTATGGAAAAGTTAATTTTTTGAATGTAAATGTGTTTTAAATTTGTATGTTAAATTTTTTTCATATTTTTGTTGAAAATTGTATTAACAACTGTTAATATTGAAGAAGTTATTTTGAAATTTCATGCATTCAACGAAAATGTAAGTCACACATGAACAAAAGGTATTAAGTTGTATCTTGCCATAGAAATAAAAAGTCATTGTAATACACCGGGGCTAATCAGACCTATGCTGGCAGTTTATAAAACTCGTTTGCAAAATTAGTAAACATGATTATAAAAACAATAAAATTGAAAATCATTGAAAAGTAAATGAACAAACATGCAACAAAATCTTGATGTGTTCTTTTTTTTCTCTCCTCTGATCCATAACCTTATCATTCATAATGAGGATCATTCTAAAATGAGAGGTTTACCTATGGGCATCAGTTACGTTGATTAGTGCCAGCTAAAATAATCAGTTTGTGTAATTACTGTTTTTCATTATTCCAACTGTCTAAATAATTGAAATATATTATTTCTCATAATTTTCAACTAATTCAGTGTTGTTCAGCTTAATTGATTAGTGTCACAACTCACAGAAATAAGCAATTAATTGAAATTATTACAATAATTGATCATTAGAACTATCCAAGTCTTATGTGAGAATAACTAATAAGTTGAATGTAACATATTATTGAACCTAATATTTAAACACTTAATAAATTCCACTAACTGCCCACCTCCAATACATTGTACAGGTGTGTAACTTGGTAATTGCTAATTAAGTAACATAAAAGTTTGACTCGTAATTGCAGAAAAATTTCAAGATCTGAAAATTACTAGCAGATTACTTCACACACACACTAAAATACAGGTAATATGTAAACATTGTCCTAACATTTCACACATTCTATAGTGCATTTGTTTCCTGATTCTATAGAATTTGATTTTGAAAGATTTGTGAACTTTACATTCCTAAAGTGTTTTCTACATAACATTGAAATTTTTCACAAAAGAAAATAATTTTTTTTAATGCCGCTTTCAAATATTAATGGCTACTCTACAAAATTGCATGCTTTATATGTTGTTATTTCATATTTTGAAGATATATTTTCCAATGGATAATTAGAGAAATTAATCTTCTAATAAATGAAAAATGTCAAGCTTATAAAAACATAAAATTCACCTGTAAAATAGTAAAATTAAAAGAAGTAAAAATATTTCTATCATCAAGACAAAGAATAAAAATTTCATGCCTCAAAACATCAAATTTCACAGTGTTTTATGCTTATATTAAGTGCAAAAAAAAGTCAAGGATAGTTTTTGGTCCTTCAAAAAATTTAAAGAGGAACCTTTTATGGGAGAAGGAAACTTTGCTAAGCCTTTTTGCTTTTTTTTACTGGTGATTTTACCAATGAAAGCGAAGAAAAATATTTTCAGACTGGCCAATTTTAGTGCTTAAAATAGGGTTTCAATACCCTTGGTGGACACAGTGCAGATAACCATTTGTGTAGCTTTGCATTTAAAAACAACCTTTAAGGGTGGGGAAGATTTTTACCTTAACTTTATTTATGTTGAAGAAGTGTAAACTACCTTATTTTTCTAACAAAGGCTCAGCAGCAGTTTGTTGGTTGTACAGACCTATCTTCCTTTACCAAATTGGGAAGAGTCTCTTTAATTCTTGACAGCTTCTCATTCTCTGCATTTCCTATTATTTCAAACATATTTTTAGATTCTGCAGCATTTATGTGTGAAAGCATTTACAATGGTTAAACAACAGAAAGACTGGAAAAGAGGATAAAAGAAAACAGTTATGTTTCAAGTATTCCTCAAAACGTTCTCAAAAACTACAATACTATAATATTTCAAAAAATGTGTTAAACATTATTGAAGCTCAAAGAACAACATGTTGTTAATACTTAGAGACTCTTCTAATTGTGAACAACTAACAAACTGCTTCTGAATTTTTATTAGTCATATAAGGTACACCATGTTAATATTCATACATTTCATGTTATTATTGAAGAAATGACTTTCAGGAAAAAAATTTGAATAACTTACTTGAGAATAAAGTTCTTAATCCTAATGAGAGTTACTCATAAACCTCAAAGAAGCTTAGCAGAATATTAGTATTTCTTTCTCTTACTATTACTTTTCAGAACTCTCTTGACACCAGAGAAATAATGGGTGACTTGAAAATTTGTGCTGTGATCCTTAATTAAGAAAAAACTTCTAAGAAAGGTTATATAAAACCTATAGGTTCATTAGATTAAATTGTTTTGTTAACAATGCATTAGAATATGGGAATCTGTTCTCAGAAGTCTAAAACTGGCATTAATGGTTCTCCAAACAGTTTTAAAAAAAATGTTTCCTTGCCTTATAAATATGTTAACATTTAGAAAGACCTCTGCTTTTTTTAACAGACTTTTAATTATCATCATACTCTTGGTAGGTTTTTTGGTGTAAGATTGCCCAGGAGTTTACAAGAAATTTTTGGGGACAATCGGAGTTGTTTACAAATGAATGTTTCTCTTTGCCCCGCGCATGGTAACAGGGTAAGAATGTATGTGGAAAAATGTAAAACTTGAGAAGATTTGATTCTTCCTATCCATCACTTTGTGTTAGGCAGTTGTCTAGTGCAGATGTTTTGAAACTGTGCTGATTTCAGACAATTTATTTTATTTTTGCAAAGTAGTGCTTTACAATTTCTATTTTTTTTTCTATAGTTTGTTCATTATAGTACTTGGCCAAGCAATTTACCTTGGTTTATCTTGTTTTTTATTCCAATTTTTTTTACTTGTTCACTGTCAATCATGAATTCATAATTTTGTGTCAGGTCTTCAGCTTCTATTCTTACTATTTCGAGTGCTGTTACACAGGGTTCAGGACAGAGGGTTTCAGCTGAGGATTTTTTGGCCATCATTTGTCGGGAGGTTGATCAGTAATGCACACTGTAGAGATGAAGTGTTCCACCAGACCACTAATACATGTTTCTTGCAATAATTTGTTACACCCAGACCATACTAACCCATGAACTTTCATAGGTAAAGCAGAAGGGGATTGCTGCCCATCCCTTTGATTGAATAAATCAGGGGTGGTCTGTATTTCAAAACAGAGTTTTTGTGGTTGTCCATTGCACTGTCTCCAGCATTCCTCTGGACTCTCCACTGCATTTATACTCCCTGTTTTGTCAAGTGGGGTATGAGAGTCCTTGCAATTTTCCAGTTCCTAGCCACTGGGGTGGTGGACCATGGAGGCAACCTCCTGAATATGTTCACTTCTATTCAGCAGAGAGTAGGGTGATAGTGTTCTGCTGGTGTAGATGATGTAGATCATCTACTTGTGCACTCCACCTCTGTGCAGTGAGTCTCAAAGGTTGATGTTGTGCATCCATGCACTCCAGCTTCTGTGTGGTCCTATCCAAGAGATGATGATATGCATATATCATTATAGTATATTCCATGAATTTGAGTAGATCTGCAACTTTACAGTTCACCCCCCCCCCAATTGGGATCCCTCATCCTACCATGAACTGAATGTTGGTTCCCAATAAGTGGTTTTGGATTAGAGCTGAACTAATCACCATAAATCCTCACACACATGTTGGTCTTGATTCCTCATCCTACCTTGGTCATGGGTTTATGCTTCATATGCTCCACCTCCATGTGGTGGATCCTGGAGGTTGATGTTGTGCAGATACGATTTGATTCACCTCAGCTCTGTGGTTTCTCAGGGTGTTAGCTGGTCATTCATGCACTCCAGTGTCTATGTGGTCCTATATGGAGGATAATGTTGTGCAGGACAAATGTTGTCCCTCTGGCACTTCACACCAGGGAGGTTGACTACCTGAAGCAGATGTTGCACAAAGTGAAACTGGTCCATTTTGGATAATGAAGTGAACCACCACATTGGCATATCTCTTCCTACTATCATTTGGATGTTCGATTCCCAGATGACTGGTGTTCGTTGTAAATTTGTGCACATGTGCCCTGTTTAGTAGATCAGTATGGGAATTTTCTCCTTCTGTTCTACTCCTGCCATGGATCACATTATGTATGCTCGATCCACCTGGTTTTGGTCTGGAGCTGTCCTGCCAAGTGCGGTCTGTTGTGCCCTAGCCATTCTACACAATGGAACACATCCATTTTAGCCTTCCCCACCATCCAATCTCTGGATAGGGACCCTACTTTCATTCTTATCATGGCTTATGATTCCAGTGATTTTAATGGGATGTGAGGTTGGAAACA